TTCCTCCTGTTCAGTTGAGAAGGGGGAGTGGGAGAGCAGCTCAGCAGGGTCTGGCAGCCATCCAAGGGCAGCCCATCACACCTGTCCATCTTACAATGACTAGAAATCTTTTGGACTAGTTTTTGATGCTATGCAGGGGAAAAAAGTCTTATATGTGAAAAATGAGATTTTTGTCTTATTTCTGATGCTGACGTCATGATTCTACCTCTCTTTACATCACAGAATCACAGAATCACAGAATCATAGAATTGTAGGGGTTGGAAGGGACCTCCAGAGATCATCGAGTCCAACCCCCCTGCCAAAGCAGGTTCCCTACAGCAGGTCGCACAGGTCGGCATCCAGGCAGGTCTTGAACATCTCCAGAGAAGGAGACTCCACCACCTCCCTGGGCAGCCTGTTCCAGTTCTCCGTCACCCTCACTGTAAAGAAGTTCTTGCGCACATTTGTGCGGAACTTCCTATGCTGCAGTTTCCAGCCATTTCCCCTCGTCCTGTCTCCACTCACCATTGAAAACAGTCTGGCCTCGCCATTCTGCCCCCTACACCTTAGATATTTATAGACCTGGATCAGGTCCCCTCTCAGTCTCCTTTTCTCAAGGCTGAACATACCCAGTTCACTCAGCCTTTCCTCGTAGGAGAGATGCTCCAGGCCCTTCACCATCTTCGTGGCCCTCCGCTGGACTCTTTCCAAGAGATCCTTGTCTTTTTTGTACTGGGGAGCCCAGAACTGGACACAGTACTCCAGATGAGGTCTTACCAGGGCAGAGTAGAGGGGGAGGATCACCTCCTTCGACCTGCTGGACACGCTCTTTTTAATGCACCCCAGTAAGCCATTGGCCTTTTTGGCCACAAGGGCACACTGCTGGCTCATGGCCAACCTGTCATCCACCAGGACACCCAGGTCCCTCTCCGCAGAGCTCCCCTCCAGCAGGTCATCCCCCAACCTGTATTGGTGCATGGAATTATTCCTCCCCAGATGCAAGACTCTACACTTGCTTTTGTTAAACCTCATCCGGTTTTTTTCTGCCCAGCTCTCCAGCCTATCCAGGTCTTGCTGAATGGCAACACAGCCTTCAGGCGTGTCAGCCAATCCTCCCAACTTCGTATCATCAGCAAACTTGCTGAGGGTGGCCACTATCCCCTCATCAAGGTCATTGATGAAGATGTTGAACATGACCAGACCCAGTACAGACCCCTGAGGAACACCACTGCTTACAGGTCTCCAACCGGACTCTGCACCACCAACAACGACCCTCTGTGCTCTGCCAGTCAGCCAGTTCTCAACCCACCTCACTGTCCACTCATCTATCCCACATTTCTTCAGCTTTGTTATAAGGATGTTGTGGGGGACGCTATCAAATGCCTTGCTGAAATCAAGGTAGACTACATCCACTGCTTTCCCCCTATCCACCCAGCCAGAGACAACATCATAGAAGGCTACCAGGTTGGTCAAGCACGACCTCCCCCTTGTGAACCCGTGCTGACTACTCCTGATAACCTCCTCTTCTTCCAGTTGTCTGGAGATGACATCCAATACAAGCTGTTCCATCACCTTTCCAGGGACAGAGGTGAGGCTGACTGGCCTATAACTGCCTGGGTCTTCCTTCTTGATACATCTCATCTTAGAAATCAGATAATGGAACAGAAAAAGGTGTTCTTTTAACTGTAAGACTGGAGTAAATAGACAAACCACCTCACTTAAATTAAGTCCCAAATTCCCCAGCCCTCATTTCAAAAGATCTTTTAATTAGAAACTGGAAAAGACAGCATTGTTATGTGGGAAGAAACACTATCCATTTCCAAGCCTGGAACACAGCAAGCTACGCTCTTAGAGAGCAGAGCATCTCTGCAAAACAGAAGACAACAGCTATGAAAATCTAAAACCAAGCACATGGAATTTTGCCACATGCATTGATGCTGCCAGAATGATCTTTGTAACATCCTGCTGATCATACTGGAAAACTAAATGCAGTATCCTGATCTTACTAGATGTGTGACCATCCAAAGAGCATCTTGCTCCCCATTGTTAGATGGGGCAAGTTAGAGACCACCTCACAAGGCTGAATGTGTACAAGCCTATTAGACCAGATGACACGTATCACAGGGTCCTGAAGGAACTGGATATTGTGGTAGCAAAGCTAATCTCCATATTTGAAGAGTCATGGCTGTCAGGTATAGGTGATTTGAAAAAGGGAAATGTCACTCCCACTTTCAAGAAAAGGTGAAAGGAAGACCTGGGAAACTACAGACTGGTGAACCTCAACTCTGTGCCTGGGAAGATCCGCAGATCCACCCTGAAGAGATGTTAAAGCTGAGGAGGTGATCTGAGACAGCCAACACAGCTTCACCAAGGGCAGATTGTGCCTGACCAATTTCATGGCCTTCTGTGATAGAGTCATAGCATCAGTGAACAAAGAAAGAGCAACTGCTGTTGCCTACTTGGACTTGCATAAGTCCTTTGACACGGTCCCACTCCACATCCTTATCTCTAAATTGGAGAGATATGGTTATGAAGGCTGGACTATTTGGTGGATGAATAATTGCTTAGATGACTGCTGCCAGAGATCTCTATTTCCAGTTGTAGACCAGTCATGAGTGGAGTCTCCCAGTGGTCCCTCTTGGGGCCAGTGCTCCTCAACACCTTTATCAATTACATAGACCGTAGGATGCAGGGTACTCTCAGTAAGTTTGCTGACGGCACCAAGCTTAGTGGTGCAGTTGACAAAACAGATGGAAGGGATGCCATCTAGAGGGATCCAGATAGGCTTGAAAAGTGGGCCCACATCAATCTAATGAGATTCAAAAAGGCCAAAGTCAAGGTGTTGCACCTGGGTCAGGGTAATCCCAGATATTGCGGAGAAGAACTTATTGAGCACAACCCTGCACAGAAGGACTGGAGGGTTTTGGGGTACAAAAAGCTGGACATGAGCCAGTAGTGTGCTCTTGCAGCCTGGAAGGCCAACAGTATCCTGGGCTGCATCAAAAGAGGAGCAGCTATCAGAGCAAGGGAGGTGATTGTCCACCTCTGTTCTGCCCTTGTGAGGATCCATCTTGAGTAGTGCGTCCAAGCCAGAGCTCCCAGTACAGGAAGGGTGCAGAGTTGTTGGAGCTGGTCCAGAGGAGGGCCACAAAGATGATCAGAGGGCTGAAGCACCCCTCCTATGAAGAAAGTTTGAGGGAATTTGGCTTGGAGAAGTTTCTGGGGAAACCTCACTGTGGTCTTCCACTGATAAAATGGAGCTCATAGGTAGGATTGAGACTGACTTTTTACATGGTCAGAGTGGGAATGGTTTTAAACTAAAGGAGGGGAGAGTTAGGTTAGATGTTAGGAAGAATTTTTTTTCTCAGAGGGTGGTGAGGAACTGACACAAGTTGTCCAGAGAAGCTGCGGATGCTCCATCCCTGGTGGAGGCATACAAGGCCAGATGGATGGGGCTCTGGGCAGGCTGGCAACCCTGCCCATAGCAGGGAGGTTGGAAATAAATGATCTTAAATGTCCCTTCCATCCTGAGCCATTTTTTGATTCTGTGCTACAGACATCAATACCAGATATGTTGAAAGTCTTGGTACTTTCTCAGTCCAGCTTCCACTGATAAATTCTTCTATATACCTAATTAAGAGCTAATAATATCTGAAATCCAAGCAATGGCAGTAAAAACTAAAGCCCAGAAACTCCTCTGGATATCTACATAACAAAGCTAAAGGAAGCCAGTCTGGCTCTAGACAGAACAATTAACCTTTTTAACTACTTAATCAATGTTAGCTCTTCTTCAGATTTCAGTCTACTCATAAATATTTTCTGAGCCAACAGACTCAATACTTCTAAGAAGTTTTCAATGGATGTATCTGTTAGGTGGGTTTCATCTGACCACTTTTCACCACAACTTAACCAGAGTTTAAATACAAACATGTAGTCCTATTGATGACTCACCAACTCAAATCAATGGGACTATCTGAATGTTTAAGCCAAAAACAGGTTATGTGCTCAGCTAATTCAGGTCTCAAAAAGGAAACTTTTTTTACAAAAAGAAATGCAGAAACAAAACACTGCAGAAGTTAAAAATAAAAAATAAAAAAAGAAAGAAAGAAATAGATGTAACCAAAGATTTGGGTGTTTTGTGACTGCCAGATGGATTTAGAAAATAAAATCCTCATTCATGTACAATGGAAGAAAAAACCTCAAGAGAGATATATTTTACTGAAAGAAAAAAAAAAGGAAGATTAGGAGTGGAGGCAATAAACATGGAGGGGAGTAACATGGAGATAAGTCTCACAAATTATTTCTTTCTAGTCTGCCATGATTTTTTAGAAAAAAAAAAGACCTGAACCTATATTATTTCAGGGAAAAAAAAAATTGCACAGGGAACTTTCATCCTTGCTCCGATTACAAAAGCTGGAGTTTTGACGTGGCTACTCCCATGATTTGAGAAAATCAGTACACTGTCACCTTTCCTTATGGCGTCAGCAAAAATCTAGGTAGCATAGCAGGAGAGAAAGATGTTATGGGGAACTGTCGTATGAAATATTCTTTTCAAAGTTAAACCTCCCTAAATCTATTGCGCATAAGCAAATTCCAGATGGCAGCTGAAAGAAAAATCTCAAAGGTTGTTTTACAGCTTCAGTACTGAAGTGGAAAGGAGACTTAACTGCAGAACTGTCTGATGTGCTGCTGGTTCTATGTAGCTCAAAGAGACGAGAAGTCTGTGTTAACCAACCTGGGTGCAGTAACAAATGAGTAGGTAACAGGAGAATCTCCTTATTTTAGCTTGAATTTTTACAAAGGCAAAGAAAATACTTCTTCCACAAGGAACCCCTTTGCACCCATCCTGTCATTTTCTCTTTTATGTCTCTTTCACTGGCCTGCATTTCGTGACAACCATTACCACACACAAGCCCCAGCCTATATATTACTGGTGACATGCAATCCTATGAAAATCAAATGCCACACAACAAACACAAGGCCATAACACTGGAAGACTGTAAATATCTTTACGAGCTTACCAGTTGTTGCTTTCACTGCATATTTTACAGAGGCAATTATACTTCCATTTTCTTGAGTTTCACACAGGTAAGTAACTGAGCGCGTAGCTCTGCGTACTACCACAACAGCTGAGTCATTGGGAAGAATGCTTGCTGGCTGTCCATATATAAAAGAAAAAAAAAATGGTTTGACTCTTTTTAAGCTCTGCAAAGCAGAGTCACATCATGTCAGATTCACAGAAAAGTGCTTGGTTTCTTCCAATAGTTTTCAACCAGTCAAAGGAAATTCTTCCCACCTCTTCAGCACCTCCTATGAGGACAACTGGGAAGTGCAATGTGACTGTGACTTGATAAGATGCATTCACTCATCAATCACAATGCCCAGCTTCTCTGAAGTAAGAAAGAAGAAACTTTAAAATTATTGTCTCCCCTACAAAAGGAGGAAATTGAAGTTGCATAAAAGTGCAACTTTTATATATATATATATATACTATATATTTTAACTTGCTCGTAACAAATCTGAGCTTGTTTGCGTTGTGACAGCAAAGGAAATAAGCAGCACAGATGCTTTAATATTTTGCATGGAGCATGCAATAAACACATCTTTTATGCAGCTTTTCTGCACAAAGTGGGGTTCAATTACTCACCTTGTCTGGAATTAACATCTTCCAAACATATTTAAATCGATTTTCAGGAGAGATATAAATACAAGTCATCATCACGCTTGTAGAGTTCTCAGAAATTGGTCTTCCCCCTACAGCAGGGATTTTTAATAGGTACATTATCAACTATATGAAACATCTCTGTATGGATCATAAAGCTCATAATTCTTCAAACCACAGAATGTTACTTGGAAATTATCCTTTCCCTTAAAATTACTTCAAATATTTTTTTGCTTAGTGCAATATCCGGAACTAAGCACATGGAAGAAAAAGAGTGTTTTACAGGGGCTTGAAACCAAATGCACATCAGTACAAAAATGAGATCGTAAATGCTACCAGATTGTTGAACAGGGTAACTGGAGGGTGGAATATAATAATTGCATTCCACTTCCATGACACTCACAACAAATAAGAATGCTTTACTTGAATTCACTTATTTGCTTTAGATTACTTCCACTCACATCCACAGTCCACTGGCCCACGGCATTCCTTCACACCAACAATACATTTTGCTTCATCCCCAGGGCATCCACTTGTTAACAGAACTTCTTGAATGCCAATCCCTTTGGGAAAAGAAAGAAAGAAAAAAAAATTATACTCTGTACTTCTTCATTTTCTCCATATTCTGTTCTTGCTTTTTTCTTTATTCTAGATGTTAATATGATGTATCTACCAAACACTAGGCAAAACAGATCTTCTCAGAGTGCCTGCTAAAGCTATCCCGTGTTGGCATCTAAGATTTCAAAGCAACATTTACATCTGTCAGACTCTGCACCATAGGGAGCCAGATCCTTAGAATCATCATTTTCCTGTGTGTCAGAAGAATTCAATATTAATTCAAAACTGTTCTTTCAGAAAAGGCATTTGAAATGAAGCTACTAATGTATGTTCTGCTAAACAGTTAATTCACTTTAAGTATCAAAGCATTCCGTCTCCTGGCCTTTACATGCTCAAATCAGATGGCACAGGAGAATACCACGCAGGCTGCCAACTCAGTCTGCCTCCAGTTTTGTGATTGCTGGAGTGTCTTCAACTCCCACCGAGGTCAGCAGAAACTGAAGGTACTAAACCCTCCTGGGACCGAGAAGCCTTAAGGTAACTACATCAAGTGATACAGGAATACCACTATTGCCTCCAGAATGAAGCTTCTAGGTGCTCAAAGCTGGTGGTCAGCAACACAGGGCTTCCTATGAGAAGCTGGTGAAAACAAATGTAGAACACCAGGATTCCAACTGCAACATGGTGATTCCCACTGAAGGCAAAAAATGGCAGCTAAGCTATCACAAATGTGTAAAGCTAAGGAAAATTCCTACACAGTGTTCAAGTAAGCAAAATATGTTCACTCTCTTCACCAAGGTTTCAATGGGAACATCTTCATTTTAACAATTATGAGCAAATTCAAAACAAGTGCTCTAATTGTTTTTGCCAAACTGTGTGTACACAGTTCACTGGAATGACATAGCTTGTGGGGGAGGCAGGAATAACATGAAGCCCAGTAAACAGAAAAAGGTTTTGCCATTTTTCCAGAAGCATTCTGTTTACTAACAGGCATGGGAAGAGGAGTGTTACCCCCACCTTGCAGTATAATAATACATGGGGAATTGGTTTGAAGATTGCGCGTATGATGCATATGCCTTCCTTAAATGTGTATTATATAAACCGATGGCTTTCAGAGACGTCATGCTACTCGTGAAACAGTACTTCAAGTGACAGAGGGAGACAACACCACTTACTGAAAATGACACAAAAAGAGGATCATCCTCCACTCCAGAGAATGTCTCATCTCATGGATGCGGAGACAGAGGTGTAAATGGCAGTGAACTGACACTTTTATTAAAGGCATTCCTCTTTCTTCAGGGCCATGTGGGTTTTTTTAGCTAACAAAAATAAGACAGGAAACCCATGAAAATCCAAAAGGATGGCTTGATAAAATCTGGGTGCTGGGCTAAATGTAATCACATTCATCAGAGAAAAATCTCACCATGTCTTATCTACTGCAATATTAAAATTGGGGAAGTATATCACACTCAAAGGGCTGACGAATAAAAAGCTCTTTTAATGAGATCTGCAAGTTCTCTTAGTACTCTTCTGCTGCTTCTTTCTGAATAGCTTTCTTTTTTCACTCCCATGTTTCCTTTCCTCACCCCTTTTTAGCAACTGCCAATGCTGATGAAATTAATCTACTGAGAGGCTCTAAAGAATGAAGGCTTAACTTCACCAAGTCATCCAAGTTACCTTAAAAGAAAACTGGCTTGGATGCAGTAAAAATAAATTACCCTCATGAAATTTACCTTGGAAAAATGTAAACTAATAGACTGGGGGAGGCAGGATGGATGACCCACAGAGAACTGAGTTCACAACAGAAAAACAGAGGCTGAGAGAAATCTAGAGGTAGTTGCCAAAAGAATTGGACCATGGAGAGACTGATACAGACTTGAGGCAGATATGATATAATTAATACGTGCATTAATTGTGCTTTAATGCCTCTGTAAACATGGATTATGAATAGGGAGAACAAGGGATCGAGCCATAGCATTACTTGGAAAAAAAAAGAAAGTGGAGTCTGTTTGGAAACCAATAAATATACAGGGCTAGATAGATGAATATAAGGAATAAGAAAGAACTGGAAATAGACAAAGAGTTTTAGAGTATTAATGGAAGAAATAATACAGTATCTTCCAGCCTTTCAACAGACAAACATGCAAGGAACTGAACTGCCCAGACTAGAATGAAGGCTACAAACATGGTTTGAAGAGCAGGCATGAGATGATGATCTTCTGTTGTTGCTTTCAGAGCTTTAGTTTCTTGATTCTTTAGTAAAATTATATACTTTCTAGCTTTAGAAGGGTTAAACATAAACTTCAAGGGACCAAAAAAACCTACTGAAATTTTCTGAAGATAAGCAATATTTGAGAGGTCTTCTAGAGGCACAGGACATAAAGAGCAGCTTCTTGTACCCTAAACATGTGTGCTCCCAAGCAAGTGAGATTATCAAGAGTACACACATGGTATGGGCACTCCAAATACATAATCAGCTTTGAAATTATAAGAAAAGGAAATTTTAAAGTATGTAGAGGCAAAAATAATATATTCTAAAACCATAACATCCTAATATCCAAAGTAGTTTTCCTGAGGTAACCAAGGCAGTTATATATATGAAAAAGTGACTGGAGAAATATGAAAGTTCACTCTAGAGAACATCAAAATGATGGAGGCAAAAACTCTTCTTTCCTTTTTCTGTGGTCTCATGAGAAGCAAAATTTGTTCAGAAAAAAAAAAATAAAAAATTAACAGCATTTCTGATTCAAGCCTGCTTCCTAAGAAGTATAATTACCACCTTGCAGCAGTTTCTATCACCACCCTAAACACAGAGATGTCTTCCTAAGGCTCAACTCATTTTTCCTCTCTCCCTTCCTACTCCAGAATGATACCTCTTCTCTCCATTGCACAATTTATAAATTGTATAAATGTGGAATACAGAACAGGCTACTGCAGGCAAGCAATTTTTTGGCAATATTGTATGTGGGAAGACATCTGTGAGAAGCATCAGAAGATCTTTCATCTTCTGAACATCTCACAGATGTTCACAAATAGCGAAAATTGTTACTTTGGTGAAAGCAGCTCATGTGCCAATAAACGTAGGGAACTGGTTTAAAATAGGAGCTTGCAGGCTGTGAATTTAATAAAACAACAGATCTGACCTAAACTTCTAATGACAATCAGCCTGATTGTTTTTGTTAATTATAGTTATTGGCAATTGAAATCAATGAGAGGTGAATGAGGGCATGCAAATTACAACTGCTAAACTGCTACAGTTAGCACTTTTTTTCCCCCCCAAAAGCAAATGACAATATGTTTTATTCATCTGCTTCGCTACTTACCACATGTAACTGTGCATTCTCCAAATTCTGGTTTTGTGGACTCAAGGGCATTCAGACCTGAACACAAAGCCTGAAGTTACATCTCCAATACAACGGAGGGGTGGAAACACACAAATACCAGCAAAATCATGCCTTTATTACTTTTCAGTTGAAATGAGAAATTTGCCAACATTTCTGCACCAGAAAAACAAGGCATTTATGAAATATAGTTCATAAAATCTAGTGTGAATAGCATTCATATTTAAACCTTAAGATGATTTGTTAAGAGGGAAAAATGTATTTTTCTTATGAAACAATTTATTTTAAATTAGCCTACTGAATGCTCAGGAAAATGCAGTGTATAATTTGCAGATTCTGTGCAAATTATAGGTCCTCCCTGAAAAGAGTTAAGAAAAATTTTCATTAAATTGTGTTCAGTCAACTCATTTCCTTGTTGGTTTTTTGGTCGTTTTCTTTTCTGTTTGTTTGTTTTTTGGTTGTTGTTGTGGTGGTGGGTTTTTTTTTTTTTTTTTTGGCTAACATAAGCCTTCCCACATGATTTTTTCCCCATCACTCTTCAAGGTCAGGTTTAGACAGCTAGCTCAAAGATGAGTCAACCAGGTACAGCAATTTAATTAGGTACTGGGCAATTTAATCACAGTGATTGGGTGCCTTCCATTTTTCATGCTACTTTAAGGTTACAGAATGGGTTTCACAGAACGTACAGAAGCAAAAGGTTCTTGTCTCCATCTGGAATTCAAATCTGGATTATGTGTTTTATTCCTAATAGCATGCAATTTGAATGTTTGTTTATAAGGATATTAAGATGCAGTGATTGTTCCATCAAGAAAATAAGTAAGTGATGCACCTTTGGAAATTAGTCATTAAATAAGCAATAGGTCTCTCTAGTTCTTCCAAATGCAGAGAGAACAGACAAGTCACTATGACTGTTTTTACAAGTCTACATTGCCAGTCCAGCCTACTCAGATTATTTTTTTCTGATAACAAATACTAATGTAAATTTGCTTTCACTGTCTCTCAGTTTTTTATATTCAAGATTTATGTTTACCAAGTGTTATTTCTGTGTACCAATGTAAGTTTATATATCACTTCTTGCTTTTAAATCTTTGGATAACATTTATATTTTCCACACACTGACTAAAACCTAAATTTCTCAGGTTGAAAGGCACAGTTTCATTTCTCTTGCAGTTGGTGGTATACAAATATATTTATTCCTCCACTGCAAAGAATTTACAGTACAGCAGCATGCTGAATTCTCCGCAATGATAAAATGATAGTGGACTCTTTTTTCCTAACATTACAAATGAGCCATCAAAATCTTATTCTTCTGTTATCTCTAACTGTCTCTATGGCTTTGACATTTATTTCAGCATATAAACTGTGCTCATCAGAACAGTCTTCTAGCTTACACACAACAATCCTGAAACAATAACTTAACTACTCAGTTGAATGCTAAAGTAAGACTCCAACCTTAGTCAAAGCATAAGATAATATAAATATACAAGACTTAAAATCATATAAAAATGGAGACAACCTGTAAAACAGCTTGGGTATCCTCAACTACTTTATCTAATGAGCTTTAAAAAATAATCACTTCTTTGGAAGACAGTTGCTATCTCAGACATCTTATCATACTTCTCTTAGCTTCTATAAAATTAATGGGACAGTAGCCATGGCAGGGGGTTGTATCTGAAAACAGAAGTTGTCATTTGCTGTCTAGACACAAAGTGAGGGGAAAAAAAAAAAAAGAAATCTTTTAAACAAGCAAAGACAGTAAACTTCAGGTATTACTATTAGAAGGCTGAAGGATTTTGCTACCAATGAAAGAAAATGTCTTCTGATTATAGAGGAAATACCAACCACAGTGTCATTTTGGAATGCTTCTGGCTCCAGGAGCACTGTAACATACAACCATTACTCTTCTGCCAGAGAATGAGAGTGATGAACTGATGGACAACAGCTCTAAATAAAAACAGATGCCATACTGTCTAAATAAAAACAGCCCGAGTAAACCTCTGCACATATCTAAGCATTAAAAGCTCATTGGTTCTAAATTAACAAGCCAGTCAGGAATCACTGATACTGATTTCTGATTCAATTTCCGATTGTATGGAATTTAAAAAACAACAGAAAGATCACGAAGGGAAACAGGATCAGAGTTGCTGATCATTTTCAGGAGTAGATGGTAGTTTTTATCTGAATATTATGAACCTTTCATTCCAGTGTTACAATGCAAAGTTTGTGCATCTTCCTTTTGATGTAAAATGAGCCAGAATTTCAAGAGAGCTCCCTGTAAGAAACTACCCATCTTTCCTCTTCTATGTCTGTTTCCAGTTGCATCAAGTTCAGATAAAAATATAACGTCAGCTCTGTACAGAGAATTATGGATATAGCTGCCATTAGCATTAATAGGAGTTATATATGTAAATCCCACACATGCTGAGATAAGAACGTGCTGAGGAACCGCATTTGCATTCCTGTCAGGGGGCTGCAATTAGCACCAGCACTGCAAAGGCAGCCTGTATTCCTCTCTGCATTTGGAAGCCTTGTAAAACCTATGTAGAACAGAAATCTTTGCCGTTAGACACCATCTTAATTACAAGCTGCATCACACAATACAAGCAAGATACTCTGATAAACGCTCCCAAAGCCCAGAGAAGCGGGCAACACCAGGTCGTGGCAGCGAGCCCTAGGGGAAGGAGCCCGCCCGGTTTGCTGCCCTCGCCAAGAGTTGGGGCTCGCTACTTATGGGGTCAGAGCGCGGTGAGCAGCACTGCTCTCTGCACAAGGTGCAGCGGAGGGCACGCAGCCCCGCCGGCCCCGCCTCACCCTGCTCCGCCGGCTCCGCCCGCTCACTCTCGGCCCCGGAGCCCGGCGGCTCCGCATCCAGCAGGGCAGTGAGCAGCGGCGGGAGGAGGAGGAGGAGAAGGAGAAGGGCCTCGCCACCCGCCCGCACTGCCATGGCCGCCCGCTCGCAGCCTCCTGAGGCGTCACAACGAGCCGCGCCCGGGAGCCCTGCCTTGCTCTGCCGGGCTCTTGGGAGCCGCCCGGGGCCGTCAGCTGCGAGGAACTGGAGCTGCTTGTGGCTGCTTGGCTCACCTGTCAGTCCTGACAGAAAAACTGCACGAGCTCAAGCCCCTGTTTCCTAATAAAATGTGCAGTAGACTTAATAGCACTCCATCGGGAGTGGCCCTGAAATAACGTTCTTCTCCAAAGTCCAGAAAACAAACAAATGAGCAAACAAACAAACAAACAGAAAAGCACAACTGTTTGGGTTTGAATCTTTGCGGCTGGCTTCTGTCACTTAAAATGCCATTTTAGGTTTTTCACGGTGCCTTTCTGGTGCACGGTGTCCAGTGTAACAGAGCCCTGTGCAGAGGGTCTGGACACAGCCAAGTAAAGCAGCCATGTGCCAAGGGGAGGGTGGTGATTAAAGTCTGCTGGGTGTGCAGAACAGTGAGATATGCTCAAGCCATGCTGACATCGAGCAGGCCAGGGTGGGTTGTGCAAGTGATGCTCCCACCTTGTGCATATGTCCTGGAATGGACTGCCCAGGGAGGTGGTGGAGTCACCGACCCTGGGGGTGTTCAAGGAAAGGCTGGATGTTGTGTTGAGGGACATGGTTTAGTGGGAGCTATTGGGAATAGGTGAACGGTTGGACTGGATGATCTTTTAGGTCTTTTCCAACCTTGGTGATTCTATGATTCTATGATTCTATAGAGCCTGTATTATGGTCTCTGGTGTTCCAAAAACACTGAGCTATTGGGGAGTGTCCCCTCAACTAGGACAACTTCCAGCAAGATTTCCCAGCAAAACAAAATGCAATCAGTAGGGATGCTTGCAAGTGCAGAGCTTGACTTGGAGGGTGTGAAACCTGCTTTTATAAGAGCTGGAAAGGAGCAAAGGCTTCACTGCACTTTCAGATCGTCCGTGTGTTTTACCCCCCTAACTTAGCCTTTCCTTAGTCATGTCTTCCCATAGAAGATGTGGAAGAAAATTCCTGTAACCAATCAATCTGTTTTCCAAAAGGGTAGAAGGGAAAGGTTATTGCTTTTATGAAGTACTTGGTATGCCCTCAGATACTGCACCACTGAACGCAGAGGAAGTTGGAGAAGTGTGAAAATGCTGTCTGATGGGAAATGAACCATTGCTCATTCAGTAAACTTCATGAAACTGTCAGAGTCAATGTTGTTAAAATAGTAGTGATAGTAATAGCTCCTGTTTCTATATCTTCAGGACCCAAAGTCATCTAGAACTGGAAAACAGTAAATATTGAATAGAAAGAGCTATCTCTAGGGAAGAGAAAATGACTGAGTGAATAAGTTCAAGTGTGCATCCAATTCTAGTTTTTCTTTCAATGAGACATTTTCAACATGCTTTTGTAGATATATCTATATGTGCATTATATGTATCTGTGCATACACACTGATGCATGCATATCTTGTGGCACTTGTAGCTGCTTGAAATGGGATGAGGAAAAAGCTACCATAAAGGAAAGAGGAATAATGTCCAGGGCCAGTAGGGATACATATTTCTCTGGAAGAAATAGGTCTTTATTATCTCTACAGAATAATCAGGAGGATTTTCAGCAGAGACATAATAAACACCCAGATGACATTTTGTATATTTTGTGTATTAGTACAAATGTCTTTTCCGTTCCTTCACATAGTTGGTCTTAGTCTCAGACTCTTCCTAAATCTTGTCTTCTGCCCAAGTTCTCCCTCTTGCTTTATAACTCTTTGTATTATTCTGTTCTGAAAAATAAAGGGATAACATTAGCAACAGCAATGGGCAAGATGCACTCGGCTTCTGCTGTGCAGTGTCTCTGGAGCAGCATTGAGCTCCGAGTGGGCAGAGCTGTTACACCTACTTGCATTGCTTTCACAGCTGGCTGTGCCACTAGCTGCCCAGAGAGAAGTCTGGAAAACAAACAGCTTGGAAAGAGCTTGCAGCTGCTTGTTCTTCTCCCCAACCTCAGGACAGCCATAAAGTGTTGCTGCAGTGGGAGTGTGTATTTGGAAGCTTTCTTCCAGGCTGGTCCTTTTCTCTCCTAGTTTGACACCATCTCCCACACAACCATTTTCCTCAGCCATTTACAGGAAGAACACTCTTCCTGGACTTATAGCCAGTGTCACTCCCATCCCCAGAGTTAGGGACGGTGGGCAGAGTCACAGTCCTCCTTTACGTTACCCGTACGTAAAGCAGAGAATGACATATGCAGCTAGGAGCCACAGACAACTTCTTAAGTGTCACGAACACCTGGAACATGATTAGCTCACAATTCTGCCTTCAGGCTATATGGGATTTGGGCGTTCAATTTAGCCATATAATATGAAATGGTTTCTTGCTGGCTTTATTATTCTAGTTGCTAATTAATAGGCCAAATAATGCCATTACCACAACACCAGCAGATTTGTACTTTATCATGAACTGATTCGCAATAAGAATGTGGCAAAATTAGATGCTCGTTAGTTTTCTGAGTTAATAACAGTACTTGTGAACGGTTCAAGTGACATCCAACCACATGGCATGAACAACACAGTGAGCCAGAGCACTCTTGTCTTCTTTATTCACAATGAGAACTCAGCTTGTTAACATTGTAAGGAAGGTGTTTGATACTCTTAGAAAACAGGAGTTCCGTGCAGTGCTGTTTTCTGTGTCAGGACTCTTTTACACAGTGCAGTTGCTTTATTCTCTGTGCATGGGCCAATAAATAATTCTGTAGGTCATATCTCACTGAAAGCTTCTGCAGCAGGAGCTCATGCCCAAAGGTCAACACTACTGTAGTGGTCCGGGGGAGGTAGGCAACAGCTCTGAAAAACACCCCCTCTTCTTTTTTTCCTATGCACAGATAATGGCATACTTCTTCCACTGGGTAAGAATTGTTGCCATAGTAATGTTTCCAGCACTCCTTTGGATCAATAGCAGAACAGAGGGTTTTTCAGGTATTGCTGTTGTTTGCAAGCCTGAAGCCTTACCCTGTATATGTTTCTATTCCTCTCTATACAATAAGTTTGTTCAAACATCTTTCAGGATTGTACGTTTATGCAAAGAAGGCAATGAAAAGATGGTATACAGATATTTGAAGCCAGAATCAAATTTGAATGGCACATGCAGTTCTGACTAGAGAAGAGTTGTTTGTGCTTAATCAAAGCCCTGAACTTCGCCCTTGTAGTCCTATTAACACCTCACCAAATGCAGGAATGAAATTAAGTTGCAGAACTGTTGCATTTTTTACACAGGGTCCAGATCTAGTTCTATTCACAATTCAGTGGCATTTTTTCAGTTGATTTAAAGTTCATTACTCAGTTCGTGAGCACTTTCTGTAGAGACACAGCATTACCACAGCACAGATAAAAATGATTACATGCTATAAATTCTAGTATGGGAAAGAAATGGGAGCTTTGCATAAGTTAAAGAAGAAATCTACAAAAGTATGGATTTAGACACAGTATTGGTACTTTCAGCAAACATCTTCAACGTATATAATATCATATAGTATCTGCTGTCTGGCTATACATGTGTCAAATGACTGGCTACATGGTGAATAAGGCTACATTCCCCTGTCATATCCCAGCAGTTTGGGCACATCTCAAGACTAGCAGTGAGCTAGCTGAGGTGATTATTGGAAACACTCCCATTCCCAATAAATAGGTTGCTACAGTCATGATGTTTAGGGGTTTTAAGAGTCACTGTGCATGGGTCAAGCCAGTTGGGCCCTGTACTGTAGAATGACTTCAAGCACAGTTGCTATACAAAGACACACATTGGTGGAAGGAGAAGCATTGCCATATCTAAATGTTTTTGTGAATGTGGCATGAAGAGCTGGAGACAAACTTTTCTTAAGAAGAAAATGTTCTTGCCCTATTGGTATATAAGCAATTAAGAAGAGCATAATTTGCTAGCAGTATATTTTGCATCTCTTTAAGAAAAACATCTCAAACTCTGCTTAGATTTCTCCGTGGAATAGTGATTCTTTTTCTTCAGTATTTTGCATCTAAACTTTAGTATTCACCAGCTTAATATGCATTTTTACATCCATAGATTCCTTTAAAAAGAGCACTATTTACCTACAGATGCTACACAAGGCTTCTTCAGGTATTAGTTATTCATTTCTAATTAGAACGGGAACACGCTATCTTCTGCAATTATGCAGTACATTTTTTAAATAGCGGCTAATATTTCATTGCCTGCTGAAAACATCTCCAAATCACAAATACAAGTGGCTTCTGCGGGAACAGTGGCAATCAGCACCATAGACACAACTCAGAGAGATTCATTAGAGTTCCCCAACAGTTCCTAGGCTGCTGTCTGCATATATCACAACTGAGCAGAAAAACTAGATACTGCTTCTCCTGTTTCTCTTATGCGGCATTTCTCAGGAGGTATGATATTCTGTATCTACTTATTCTCACCTGTTTTTTCCTCCAAACAAAACTGGAGTAACTTTCCTTTATCTTCTACAACTCCTTCCTCATTGGCAGCAAGGCCCTCTTGCCTACATCTAAACATCTAGCCTTCCAGAAGTGAACACAAGGAGGAAGGAGTAGGAGAGGAGGAGAAGACACAGCCTAAGATACACCTAGGCTGCTGGATACTGTCAAACACTCTGAAGTCCCGTGGCTTATATGTAATTCTTTGCCTTGGTAGCGTCAAGAGAAAGACAAGGGAATTGAACCGAGATTTCTGCTTATGCATGGGAACCTGCTGAATTCTGTTAATCACACAGAATAGACGCAGAACAAAATGTAAAATTTCCTGGTGATGTGATTCTGTTCATGTTATTTAGGAGGTATACCTGTCTTCTTGACACTCAGCCTTTTCAACAATACCTGTTAAAAGATTTTGTGCCAGAAATATCAGAGAACTCACATGTATTCATAGACTTTCTAATGTAGTCCCATTCATCATCCTAACACTGTGAGCAGACTTTAATGAGAAAGGTTAGAGGCATGGGAACTC